GCCCCCTGCCCCTTGTCCCTGCCTTGTCACCTACCCCTGCTCCGCGTCACCTACCCCTGCCTGACGTCACCCTACCCCTGCCCCGTGTCACCTACCCCTGCCTCGTCACCCTACCCTGGCCTGCCACCTCCTCCTGCCTGTCACTCCATCCCTTCCCCAAGTCCCTGCATCCCTTTCTGTGCCACCCAGCCCTCACCCACGTCACCCAGCCCTACCCCTGTCACCGCATCCCTGCCCTGCGTCACCGTACCTGTAAGCCTCGTCACTGCCCCGCCTGCCTCACTGGGCTCCTGATGGCAGCTTCATGGCTCAGGATTGATTTGCTGGTTCTGGCCCCCTGTGCCACCACCACCCAGGGACCATGTGATGGCTGCAGCAGGGCTGTCACCCATCACCTGTGGCTGGGGGGAGGACACAAAACCCAGACACTGCACCCACCTTTTGGAGGAAAAACCAAGGACCCCTCAGATCAAGGCTTTGCCATCCCTGTTGGAGGGGATCTCCTTGGAGGGATGGGATCGATGCTCACCCTGACCACCAATGCTTCTCAACCCAGCTCCCTTACCACTCACTGGCTGGGGCATTTTCTTTTCCCAAGTTTTCCCAAACAGCAGGGAAATTTCCAGGCCCAAACAGCCACACGTGGGGTTTGTCACTGGCTCCAGAGCAGCCTGCCCAGGGGAAGTGTTGCCATGGCTACGGGGGGATAAAAAAATATAATTCAGATCCAGCGAGAAGGCTCGGCCGATAGAAGTACTTAATTAAAGATGAGAAGGCGGCAGGGAAGTTCAGACGTGCGCAGAGCAGGGACGTAATCGGCGGCAGGCAGCTGCAGGGAGTTATCATCGGGGGAGTGCCCATCCTGCCGGGTACTGGTGCCTCTTGGTTTTGTCTCTTGGCTGGGAGAAAAGGGGTGTGACGTGCTCCCCACTAATCGCAGGGGGAGTGGGCTTGGGGACTGGAGGAGCTCAGTGCAGTGGAGATGGCCGCAAGCCTGGCTTTGATGCCGTGGGAAGCTGGGGCAGAGCAGGACGCTGGGCTCCGGGCATGGGAAGGGAGATGCCATGTCAGCATCCCACAAGGAGAGCCACAGTGGGACACAGCAGCAGGACAGCCTAGCCTTGTCCTCCTCCCTGCTGTACAACGCAGCCCTCACACACACATGGAGATACTGGAGGGTGTTCTGGGCATTCAGTTCACTTTTCCTGGGGTCTGGCATGGGGATGAGCCCCCAAAAGCTTCCTTTTCTCATTGTCAGAGCACAGTTTTCCCCAGCAGAGACCATTGCCTTTGTGTCCCCTCCAAAGCAAAGTTTTCCTGGGGGCTGAGAGCAGACACTTGCTGCCTCCGCAGGGCTGGGTTTAGGGATGTGTCCCCAGGACTTGTCCATCGCCCACTCCATAGGGAGCAGAGCCCCAGCCCACAGCCAGGATGGTTCTGGGGCACCAGCCCAGCACTTCTGTGTTGCTCTAAGGCACCCACTTCTCCCCTGATGAAGACCCAAGGTTGCTCCAAGTTGGCACCTGGGAGCAAAATCTGGGCTCCCCACCATCCCTGGGGAAATGCTTCCTCGAGCTGGAGATGTCCCCTCTGTTGGTGAAAAGGCTGGATAGTCCCCTCCAGCCTTCACCAATGTTCTGGGTCTTAAACCCATTCCCCTCTGAAAGCGCTGTCAGATTTTTGGGAATAACACACCACCACGCTGCTTACAGAGTCAGGGTTTAATTCAGCAACAAACCAAGATCAGCCGTGACCCACGTCGCATCGCTCCCTCTCACTCCGCATATTCAGCCTGGCAGGGAAGAGTTTAATTCTTTCTAGCATATGAAATCCTTGCAGTGAAGAACTAAAGCTTCTGGGGAAAAAAAATAAAAAATAATAACCCCACCATAGCAGAAACCCCTTAATTCAACCGCAGGTTTTCAGTAAAGAGAAACGTCTAAGGGAATTTTGATCACTTGAAGGCAAAGCATATGTTCAGCTGCTGAGCTGAGGCAGATAGCATATTTTTTTTAAAAGCTTTTTTGGTTTACTTTTATGTAGAAAAGAGTGCAAACAGCAAAATCTCACATAAAAGAGTCTGGGAAAACGAGCCTTACAAAGGGAAGTGGATGGACCGCACAGTTGTTTTTTTGGGGGGAGGTTGCAGGGTTGTTTCTCAGATAACAGCAGAGACCTCTACTTAAAAACTCATGATATGGTCCAGCCAAGGGTCGCATCAGAGATTTCTCCTCTTGACATCGCGCTGTTATGTGAATCGCACATGAGGGCATTGGCAGAACATCTCCATCTTCTCTGGGGGACTGGAAGCAGCAGCACCCCATGACCTGAAAAATTTTCTCTGGGCCGAATAGCAAGGGAAAGGACTGGGCTGGCACAAAGGATGGGCCAGGCTGGCTCATGAAACCACGGCTGTAAGAGTAAAGGAGCTCTGCCCCACGCTTGCTAACCATGGCACTGGAAAAGCCAGGAGCAGTCATGCAATAGTGGGTGCTCTTTTTCTACTTGCTAGGGTTTGTTTGCTTTTTTTTTAGCTTTTCAGACATCTTCCAGCTTATCCTTATGACCACAAAAGCCTGAATTTCAGAAGTAGGTAAGCAGCATGGAGTACAGGAGCAAAAGCAAGCCGAGGTTGTGTCACGATCTACTCATTTCAGCTGCTGACATTGCCAGAAAGCACCAAAAGCATGAAAAAAAAGGCACAGGACTCAGCACCAGAAGCATGCCACGTCCTGGAGGGTGTCCAGTGAGCAGCACCAAGGAAACCACATCCTCCTCCTGGTGTGGACGACTCGCTGCACTGGTACCACTGCAGCCCATCATGGCTTTCAGCTGCTCAAAAGTTGGTTGAGGTCCTTTGGTATTTTTTTCCACCTGAGAGTTCCTCAGCCCAGTGGGATGGGTAAGAAATGGCAGTGCAAAGCGCTGGTCAAATGTTGGTCCTGATTATCCTGAGCTTTGAGCCCCGGTGCTCTGGCTCACCAGGGCTGTCCCCCAGCCTGGGCGGGTGGATGCAGGGGGTATGACTGAGGTACTCCTTCTTCCCTAACCAGTGGTATGGGTGCAGCAAACAAAACCAGTTTTCAGGATCACAGCAGGTTTCGTTTCCTCCCAATTTCTTCCCCACACATCTTCCCCCACTTGCACCACTGTATTTCAGCCTTTTGAAACTCAGCAGCAGCCGTCCCCCTCCCCCCCCC